TTGAAATGAGTTAACGAGTGGATGGATGACTGTGTTCGGTTGTTTAATTTAAGCTGCGCATAGCCCCGAATTACAACATTTGCACATCGAAAGACTTTTATGATTTAATTTGTTGTTGTTTTCAGAAAATATATGTTTTGTTGTTATTTCGATTTAAAACTGGGATATAACTGTTTTAAATCAATGTTTTAATGATATTCAAAAGTCGATATTGTATGTATCTATATAACATCATTGTTGCTTCGTAATAGTACATATACCATCAAAACCTATCCTATAGTATGCGGAGAAAGGCCAATCAGTAATATTTTATAGATCTTCACAAATATGAAAACATATCTAAAAGGACCAACTTTCAAAACAATAACAATGTAATAGAAATATACACAAAATCAATATTATACATCCATGGACGTAGTGATAAAGTAAAGCATAGGTCCAAACCTGGAAAAATTTCCAGGTTGCCTAGAATTGCCTAGTAACACTCGTTGAAGTGCATACTTCTGAAGAATTCAACAAGATTGGTGACTAGCTTGCGCAATAGAGAATCGTTACAACCACGTTTTCTCCAGTCTTAGAAAGGTCGTGTATAAAGTATTTGTTAATGCAATGCAAACAACTACATATTTGCATGTCTGAAAATATTGTCTGTCAAACTCTTTATAATATTCATGAATCGCAATAATCGTAAGTTCATTATTGGGAAATCATATAAGAATTAGACTTTTCTTTTAAACTTGAGTGAAAAAATAACATAATCCAGCTTAATTGAACTAGAAGAGCGCATAAGAAAGCACTTGGTACTCTTAATTATAGATTTTTGTCTGTGTGATGAAAGATTCAGGATATTTTCTTGTTTACGAAATACACCACCAATACGATTATCCTTCGTTTCGTGTTTTAAATACTTTAATAATACATAGACGAAGCTAATAAAGAAAAGAAAGAAATTTAAAATATATATTCAGGCTTATTGTTGAGAAATATATAAACTTTAGTATACGCTATGTTTTTAAATAGCAAATAATACCGAATAATGATCTTATTTTGATGCTATCCTTACTGCAATTGACTAAGATTTCTTTAAGGATCCGTAGCTATCTCTAAAATACATTTCATGTCCTACTCCATATTTTCAATTTTGTGTGTTAATTTTTATATTCCCTATAGTGATCAATTGTTATTCCATATATAATGTTAGGGATTTATAATTTTTTTCATAGTTCTATATTATTAGAGACGCTGCACTTTATTGTGTTTCATTATATCGCTCGATGCTTAAAAATTAATATATATTCTAGATATAGTTTTTGATTCATAAAGTTTTTTGAAACTTATATATGATTTATTTAACATTTATATATGCATATATATACATATGTGTTAAGCCGTAGATGAAAGGACATGGAACCTCTATATGATTCTTAAATGTTAAAAATATTTTATTATGAAGTTCATTTGCTTTCGTCATAATAAAGTATAAAAAAAATTACTAAATTGCCGGATGCTTTGACTTGCATAATTCTTTAACTTCTTTTTGTATATTTTAATAAATAAACGAAAAAACGGCGTCACACAAATCTTTTCGAATGGTTGTGAGCTATAAATTAATGTTGACACCACCGAAAGGTGTCGCACGATTCCACTTTAGCATAATTTTTTTACTGTTAATGAATGGTCAGAGACTTTTACTCAATACGTCAGAGTCATAGGTTTGAAAAACCAACAAAGTCTAAACTAGGTACACTTGTTAAGTCGATTGTTTCATCAGACTTATGCGGACAAAAGCCAATCAGTACTATTTTATAGATTTTCATAAAAGTGAAAACTTATTAATGAAAACCAATACTCTAACTAATATTATGTCAACGCAATATTTTAGAAGTCAATATCAAAATTATAGATCCATAGACAGATCAATTTAAACAATTTTTGTTAATACTCGTAAATATGTTTTGAATATCAGACAAAAATAGGGTTCTTCCATTGAAATAATTAATGAGAAAATGTTATTACATAAAATCGGAACATCTTTTCAATTCATACTCAAGAGGGCACATGCCCATACCTATGTCATTGACTAATCACAATTAGAGTGTACCAGTCTTTTCATTATAAAATACTACTTCGTACACACTTTTTAGGGGCCCCCTGGGTTATATCCATGTATACTTAAATCCATTATCAAAATCTAGGAAATGATTATATCCTAGTAAAAAACAAAGAGATTCAAATTTTTTTATGAAGTAAATCACTTTTATTTATTGTTGTAAAATATTTCATCTTTGATGAAAGCTGTAATCATTAGATGACGCGTCGCAGTTGGCGGATAGCGGATCCCTTTCCCGTTATCGGGTGGCAGAAGGGAAATAAAATACCTCCCGCGGACCAAACAGTCTGAGGTAAGTTATTTCCTAAAAAATCACTACCCACAAGCTAACCGTTGGATATTTTGAGGCCGTAGGCTGTGGATAGAGTCAGTAAAAAAGATAGCGCTAGAGGAACCGTAACTGGTCAACGGCGGCGTTCGTATACCTTCAAAAAGACTACTGTTACAATATCGATCTGAAAGCAACAGTTGGTAGCCCCAATACCAGAATCGGATGCGGTGGGCCAAGTACCTGCCAATCTTAAACCAACTGAAATAAATAATAATAGAAATGGCATGCGACCCTATGCTGCTTTTAGGAGTTAAAGGGTTCAATAAATTTCTTAGTACACACTGTTAGGAGGACCCCTTGGATATGTCTATGCATACCTAAAACAATAGCAAAATATAAGAAATGTTTACTCGAAATAATTAGCAATGTTGATTCATTTTTTTTATAACTTTCCTTAAGTATGTAATACACTTGTGTCAAAAATAAGTAAAACGATTGGTATAGAAAAAGGAAGGAACTTTTTTTTATTGATAATCCGATGATCAAATAAACACTCTTAAACTTAAATAAAAGGATCAATAGAAAAATAGATAGAAAAAATTTAGTTTGATTCAAACTAGCTTATACGAGTTCTCCGTAATTTTTTTGCAGTTTAATGTACAATTATAGTAAAGACTATTAAATGTTTATTATTAAATCAAATAAAAAATATTTAATATTCATAAAAATTTGCATTGAATGAACTAACAAAGCAAAAAACCAATAAATATTATATTTGAATCTTTAATTTGCAAAACTGTGCGAAATATTTTCAGTGACAAACGAACAAAAGGTGTTTGATGGAGCGGAGAAGACGATGCGTCGAAAAAGTGACGTCGAAAAATGGATAAAAGCATCTGAACGACTTTCAACCCACAAAAGCATTAGTTATAATAAAAATAATAAATAAATGACAAATTATCGGTTTGAGATCTTAATCGTTTATGTGCAACCATAAGAAAAATTTCTAAGTAAGTAAACTACTCAAATCAGATGAATAATTTGATGTATGGACTGAAAAGTTTTGGTCCCAGAAATTGAAAACATTTTTTTGATTTGATTTTGATTTGAAAAACCTTTAGTAGTGCTCTATTTCAGCGATCACTTTTTCAATCCAGTCATCACTTTGTCAGAAAAATTATTTTATGGTTTGAAAATAGACAGTAATGACTGGAGGTCAGATCTGATAAGATGAAAACTCTAAATATGTTAGAAGAGAAATTCGAGATGCCATAATGCATTATAGTGATGGGAGAGCACTTGAAATTATTTTTATAATTTTATTCTTTCTATGCAGCATTAATACTATATAATTTTTTATCCTTTTACCTTAAGCTCATCAGACGGCTGTTGCAACTGATAAATCCAAAGAAATACCAGATCAGAATCTTTAATAGCAGTACACTTTTTCTATGTATATTTTTCTATGTGTATATTTTTCTAAGTATATCATCACTGAATTTTGAAAAATACTTAACTACAACATCGCAGACAAAATTTAGCCCCCAAAAACATTTTAAATAAATCCGGGCAGAAACTAAGATCTTTGGTACCCGGATACCCGGTTCCATTTCGTAGCCCATGTACATGCGATGTTAATATTAAGTGTCCTATTAAAATACCAACCAATATTCTGCAGTTGGTTAAATATAGACATGTTTTAAACCCATAAGAGAGGTGTACTACAAAAGGTTTAAAAACACTAATGTTGACTATACAAAATGCTCTAAAGAGACGGTCTATCTATGTATGTTATCGATACGCTTAAACTCAGGTAAAAGACTCTAATGAAGCTATGTAATAATATTCCAATATCAAAATCCAATACTATTTTCATAACATTCGGATTGCACTAAAGGGATGTTATTGTATTCGATGATCTATTGTTCAAACTGAACATATCCAAGCTATTTTCAGTATTGGGTTTTATACATAACTACTTCACAATCACCACATAAAATGATATACCCTTATTGAGAAAAGTTTAAAATATACATATATTTAAAATCTTTGGAAAATTCTTTAAGATGATATGTCCTTCTGCCATTCACCTTTCAAACAAGCCTTACAAATGCAATATTTATATAATTTTATTTTTAAACTTTTTGCGTCAAAGAGCTTTGGAATTATGGATGTAAGGGGAAGCGTCAGATACCACCGGGAACAGAAAGCAATTAACTATCGTATTTAACCACTTCACACTAAAGAAGTGCAGTCGAAGTATTTCATGTCATCTTCTACCACTTCAGACTGTGAATCTCTTGCTTTCGTTTGCTTGGTAGGCTTTCTTTTGGGCACTTCCGCACACTGATAACTGACTGACGTCATCGCTAAGTATTATCGTTGGGTGTGGGCTTGTCAAATGTGTCTCCACTGAAGCCACAAGCGGTCAACAGTAAAAGCGAAAGTAAAAGTTATGTTACCATTTAGCACAAAATCTCGTTGATGGTTTCTTTTTCTTACGAGTATAAATTTTTTTATGGTTTATATAAATAAAGTAGTGAATCAGAAAGTTTAAAGTTAGTTTATCTGAGATAAATGTTAATTAATAAGAAAAGTAAGAATAAAGTAAATACCAACCGGCGGAATCGAAATGACTGCTTACTAAAGTGTACAGTAAAAAGTATTGTAAAATGGCAAATGAACTCCAAAAATGTTTGTGACTTGGCCTGAACCACATTTTATGCAAATTTCCAAACTGGTCAAAACTCACAACTTCGACTGCAAGACACTGACTTTTATACAAAATTTTTTTTTTTTTTTTTTGATTTTAGTTAAATATTTGTTTAATATTATTTCTTATGTATTAGGGATTTTTTGTATTTTTTCTTGAATTAATTTTCAAAATATTTACAATTTTATTAAATATTTGCTTATTTACTTAGTGATGTTTTTTATATAAACAGATTTTCTTAATTTTCTTAATTTAGAAATTAAATTTATTTTAAATTAAATATATTTTTAAAATACTTTTTATATATGCAATTTTTTTTTTGTTTTATTCTTGTTTATTTCGTTTTTGATTGCAAGTCTTAACACTTGATTGACCACCGGGGTCTTACGACTAAATTCCAATCAACTACCACAATTTAATTGAACTTAATAACCAACTTAGAAGTAATATTTGCGGTATTGTATCGAAATTAAAACCGTTTTATATGGAATTTTTGAGCTGAAAATCTGATATTCTTGTTTCAGAAAAGTTCTCGCGCTCTGCGGTGGAATTGCGAAATTTTGCAGAATTTCGGGTCAAGGATTGATTGGGTTCTTGCATCTGACTGCAGTTTGTAACTGTACACAACTGTGACTTGTCGTAATTCGAGTAGTTAAAAGTTTTTGCTATGAGCTTTGTTGTTGTTGCTGTTGCTGTTATCTATAAAGCTTATCTTCAGCAACTATTAAGTAACACTAACACTTTCCTTTGTTGCTCAAAGCATTTCTTCGCATTTTACCGACTTCCGCACTTTTGAGATTTTTTGCTGATCGAAAATGTGGCCAATGATTTTGCTTGGCACAATTAGCCGACAGACAAACTTTTTTTCATAAATTTTAACACTTTTTGCACTTTTTTTCTGGTTATCTGGTTTTCTGGCCGTCCAAATTGTTTCGGGCACTTCGCACTCTGCGCACGTAGTCGCGTCTTTCCTATTACGTTACTCGTCTTTACACGTCTTTGCGTCTTTCCGTCTTTCCGTCTTTGGTAGTCTTACAGACAATTTCTTTGCGATTCGCCGCTTCTCACGTCCGTTGTGTTTGCGCGCTCATGTCAATCTGTTCGAGTGTAAACAACTTTTGCTTTCCGTCGGCGGCTAACTAACTTGCCTTTGGAACTTAAGTTTGGATTTCGATGTGAGTTGTTGTTGTTTTTTGTGTCTTATTTTTAGCTTTACTTTCTTAACGTAGTGCTTTCCTTTACTTTTCTTTCTCTTCGTTTTGTTTTGCTTCAATTTGCAGTGTTCGGGGTTTTGGTTACATTTCGTTGCCGAAGTTTGGATCAAAAACTCTTAAACAAAAGCAAACAATAAAATTTAAAACAAGTGCAGAGTACATGTGCCAGCCTCATTGACTTTATTGCACCTTATGTACTAGTTTTGAAGTTATTGCAATTGAAGAGTATTTCTGTCGCAAATAATAATTTTTTTATAATGTGTGAATATACTTGAAGTGTGAATATTCGAAGAATTGTGTGAAGAATTGTGTCTCATTTAAACTTTTATAAAAACAGCCTGAAAGAGATAGGTTTAATAGACTTAAGTTGACAGAGAACGAAATTGGATGCTCAAACACATACATAGTCAGTACAGAGATCTTAAAAATGTGAAGATGATTCCAATAATTGTTAACTTGAAACAACTCACTTATTAGGAAGGCTATCTCCAGAAGGAACTTAGGTAACGTCAGATATTTTATGTATGATAATATCATAGACATAGTAAAGTCACTATCTGTTTCATTCTCTAATTTTAACTGTAATTTATTTCTGTCACTGCCTCTTTCGTTTTTATAAAATTCCAATGATTTTTAATTTCCAAGATATTTCCAATTTTATTTATTTTTATTTCTTTTCTTATAACTTATTCTTATAACACTTCTTTCTTTTCCATACTATAATTTCCGATTTATATTTCTGACATTTGTACTATTCCACTTTTAATTTTTCTCTTCCTGTCCACTTCAATTTTATTTCATCTCACATTTTTATTATTTTCATTCTAATATTATTTATTAACAGTTTTTCTTTTATGTTTATACTTTTTTACTTCTAGCTTAATATTTACTTATGTGATTATATATCTTCTTCGCTTTGTTCCTTTCTCCGTCTTTTTTGCTTTTAATTGCGATTATTTAGGTATATTTAATCCTCTCACTACCTCTCCTATTTTTGGCGCTTTCATATATCTCGTCTTTTAATGTTTTCTTCATTTTTTTCTATTCTCTACTGTAGAATTATTTTAAATTTTAATCAAGTTCTTCTCATATTACAATACATTTTTGTGGATATATATCAGCGGTACAACCAATATCGTGTCAAGAGGAGAGAGATACTCTACAAAAAAGTCTCCTATACTCTGCCCCCCTTGAGGGTTCTTATGGGTTGTTTAGCATTGATTACTATTTTCACAAAAAAGACCGGCTCAATATATCAATGTCTCATTATTGCTTGGAGGGCAAGGGTTTTTATCTTTTCCTATGTACCTTCATATAACTACTATGGAGTAAAATAACTATATAAACTATGAACCTCTGAAAACTTATTTTTTAAAACTCTTCGATAAAAAACATTTCGGTCTTTTAAGATCTCAGTGCTTCTACTTCATAAGGAGTTTTAGTTCTAAATATCTTATTAGTCTTATTTATAAAAAAAAATACATATTATTTTAAAAAAAAAAAAAATCATTAAGTGTTTAGTTTTAATTTATTCATTTAATCTATATAATGGACATATATCATGTTTCAGATAAAATAAGAAAGTAATGAATTTGATACTTTTATATCAGTATGTTTTCACACTGGCTTCTCTTCGAGATTTGTATGATAGACATAATCACAACACAATGGAGATAAAATGGTCTGTTCTTAATAGGTGATTGTTGGTGATCATATCCAAGTCATATCAATATATATATAGGAAGAAAAAAAATCAGTGGCGTAAATGGAAAGATTTGCCATCTATCGTCTATGGAAAAGCACATCTTCATTACGTACATCTCTTCAATGTTGTTCTTCACTTTATTACTAACTATTTGAATTATAAAATATCTGTTTTTAATTTAATCCATAAATATTATTCCACTGATCCAAATATTAATTCAATTTAGCTTCGCAATTTATCTTCGCGACGAACCTAAATGATTTCAATGATATTCACTTTGTCCCAGAATATTTTCTACTATGATATGTACTTTTGCATAATATAGATGTGGGTGTTGCATTAGACATTGCATTGAAATATTTAATTATATAATCGTTTGTTTAAATAATTATAAAGTTAATAAATTGGCAATTAATTACTGAACATGAAGTTCAGTGAAGTTCATTTTTGCAAAAAATATCGAAATGTGCGGACGCGCTTCAGGGATTTGGGTCACAGTTGTGCAGCGTAACTATTGCAGTTCTAATAAATTATACTCATATTTAATTTTTTAAATAATATTATTAATATGAATAAATTTTCAGTATTTTCATTTCTCAAAATATACACTTGTTTGCCTTTTGACAATTGTATCTACGCGAAGGACGTGTGCCCTAACGAACATATTCAATTTCTGCTTTATAAAAAGTAAGTTTTCACTATAATTTTAACTTTAATTTTCAGCATAATTCTTACTATAAAGTTTATTAAAAAACATATTTTGTGGCATTAAAAACGGTTTGATCAATATTTCTATATAGCGAAACACCAAGCTTCCCAATAAATTTGAACCCAGCTAACATAACACGTGAATTGTTCGAACCCGCCTTACCGCTGAAAATTATCATTCACGGCTTCGTAGGACATCGTGACTACTCGCCAAACATCGAAGTACGTCCTGCATTACTGCAATATCAACAGGTGTACGTGCTCACTGTAGATTACGGAACCATAGCCGAATTGCCTTGCTATTATCCTTGGGCTGTTTCCAATGCTGGAGTTGTAAGCAAATGTTTGGCTTTACTGATCGATAATTTAATTGATGATGGCATCTATCGTAGTGAGGATGTGCATATAATAGGTTTCAGTTTGGGTGCACAAATAGCAGGAATAACAGCCAATTATTTGAGAAATCGTTTAAGAAGAATAACTGGTATGAAAAAATAATATGAGCAAAAGGTTCTATACATTTTTTTAGGCTTAGATCCAGCTGGTCCAGCTTTTGCAACTGACAATCTTTCACATAGGTTGGATCCAAGTGATGCTGACTTTATTGATATTATCCATACAGATCCATTTGGACTGTCAACGATTGCTACCCTGGGACATGTAGATTTTTACCCAAATTTAGGACAACTCAGTCAACCTGGCTGTGGCATTGGTCAAGAGGGGCGTGAGTAATACTTATTTTTACTATGAGTTAATAAAAAAAATTGTAAGTTATTTACAGGCATTGTTAATTGTAATCATTATCGTGCTCCACGGTATTATGCCGAATCTATTAAAAAATCGCAAGAATTCTGGGCTTACAATTGTGGAAACTGGTTGCATTTCCTTTTGCAACGATGCAACGAGTACGTGAAAACGCCCCAAACTAAGATGGGATATTATGTCTCAGAGGAGTATGTTTAATGCACATTGGTTTTTATATTAATAAGACCATTATTCTTTTCATTTTTATATGCAGTGCCGTGGGTTCCTATTTTTTAACTACTCATTCCAAAACACCATATGCCAAGGGTCCACTGAAAACTTAAGCGATTGTCTTTTCTCTGTGGCTACATAAGGCTCAACTTATAAGATTAAAAAGAAGCTATACGAAAACGTATATAAAATAAGAAATTTTTAGAAAAAGTGTAAGAAATAAAACAATGAAATATTAGAATAAATAAAAAAATCCAAAGTGAAATTTTCGGTAATGTTTATAAAAAAAATAAAACAATATGAATTGTTATTCCACAACACAACTTTCTAATCAAATCCATCAGATATTTAAAGCTGTTATTTATCATTCAACATGTAAATTTATTCTCTAATAAAATTTTACTCCTCACTAAACAAACAAAAATTTTACTCCGGGTCTAAACAACCGGTAACAAAAATACCATTGCCGAATTCATAAAAAAGTTGGATACAAATACCCTAACGTAAAATAAGGCTATTGGTAGATTTTATATCCTTTGATTTAAAATTTTCAATTATTTTCTTGACTTGACAGCTTGACAAAAGCTGCACGTAGGACCATGAAAGAACACGAGTTTGTCTTACTATAGCCGAAAGGTGTGATCAAGAGGACTACCATATTTATCGCTCCGTTTTACATTCATAAAATTTTTAATGTGTATAGCTTCTAATCTCATTTCTGAAGAGCAGTAGTTGTTAGTGCCTGGTTTGTTTCTCACCAAATGAAACATAAACAGCTGGTCCGATTTCACAACTACGGTAAAACGTTTCTTCAGAATTACACAGAGTAAAAACCACTGGCGAGTTATTTGACGGATCATCAAGATGTGAGCTACCATCTGAATAAAGTGAGTCTTTCGGAGAAGACAGAATGTTATTTCTTCATGAAATCAAATGTGGAAATCTGTTCCATAATATATGACTATAATCTGAATATTAGATGAATATTAGATCAAAGGCGTCCTCATAATATATGACGCTCAGCAACACTGCCCAGCAACATTGATAGCCAACTCTCAACCATTTCAATAAATTATTAAATTTTTATAATTTATATTTTATATTCTTCATTACATTATCAAATATTTTAGTTGAGATGACTTTCATTTGCTTCATCCACTTTTGGTATTTTATTCCGCACAACTGCGTCAAATTCCGGAAAACCTTTTGTCAGTTGTGGTTCAAAATTCACATAATTAATTTGTTCCATATTAAAGTTGGAATTTGAATGCAAACGTACATTTCCGGTCAGTTGACTTCTTATGGGGCCCAATGCAAAAGGCGACTTATGTGAAGTTGAAAGAAAAAAAGACCCCAATGCACTGAAAGTATGAAGATATTTATAATACCTAATATATCTGAAATTACATATTACATATGATATGAAACATCTACCTATGATTCACATGATAACCCATAACTGCATCATTGGTATTATTACCGCACATACCGAATATATAGTGCAACCAACTTGGACAAGCAAATCCCCAAAACTCCGAAGAATTTATAATGGATTCGGCATAATAGTATGGTGCTCTCTCGTGATTACAGCTTCCAGGGTCTGTTAGTTTTTATAAATAAAATTATGTAGAACTAATTATTTGGACAATCTAATTAAGCCTAAAAAATTTTTCTTACCAATACTGTTATCTTCTTGACAACCAGGTTGATATAGTCCAATATTTGGATAAAAATCAGCATGACCCATAGAACGTAGCATACCACGACCAAGCACATCTGTGTGTATGACATCTACAAAATCAGCATCAGTTGGATCTAATTTACGATCAGAACCGACTGTGATAAACATTGGCTTTGCAGGGTCCAAACCTATTATTGATTAAGATATATTTTTGTTAACAGAAAATTGCAGAGCTTTTTTTCGACAGAATATTCTCTGATTTATGTTCGCTTAAAACAGTAATTATTTATAATTTGATTTTTTAAAAACTAAATGGCCTTTGTTATCTAAAAGTTTCATATAAAAGATATTAACTTTATCAACTATCTGAAAACTATGATTAACCTGTTATCCTCTTAAGCTTCTTTTGTAGATAATTTGCTGTCTGTCCCGCTACCTGTGCACCCAAACTGAAGCCAATTACGTGTAAGTCATCATTATCAACAATGCTTAGGCTAACCAAATTATTTATTAGCTGTGCCAAGCATCTACTAGCCACTGGTAAGTTTTCAACACCGGCAAAGTAACAGGGCTGACGCACAAGTGGTCCATAATCCACAGAAATAACGTAAACGTGCTCCGCATCTAAAAATGCTGGTCTTATCATTGCATTTGGTGCAAAATCTCGATGTCCTGTATAACCATGTATTAGAATCTTTACTGGACGTCTTGGCTGAAAATCCCATGGATTCAAATTTTCCGGTAACAACTGTAAAGGATTTTGACGTGTTTCACTGTAGAAAATGAATACTGGATAAGTAGAAATTGTGCATCTAGAATACATATCAATTACTTCTTATAAAGCCAAAATGTAACATTTTGATTGGGGCATTTTTCGTCGCGAACTACAAAACAGTTCGAGTCCCATAATCCCAATATTGGATTTGAAAATATGCTGTCAATGAGAACTTTTTGGAGATAAGCAAAATCAAATTTATTTATTTTTAGTTTTTCTGATTAATAAATATCTTATAAAAACTTTTACTTGTTAAAATGAGTAGTGTTAAAGGTAAAACAATACTTGTAGCTTGCATTCCGAATTTCTGAAATTTAAAGTTCCAAGCCTTAAACCAGAAAGAGCATTGGGCCAATGTCTACGGCACTTGCGAAATTTTAATTAAGTGTACTTATGAAACGATTTGGTTTTTAAATAAACTTTTAGCTAGAATTTTTCTTACTTAAAAACGATTCATGACGGTTTTATATAAGCACCCATATAAATATTGTACAGACAAACGTTCGAGTGTATGAGTGTATAAAAGATTATAGACAAGTATGTATATGTGAATAATCGTATTAATGTGACTAATTTGTTAATGACCAAATTATTTACCTTAAATAATAATGAAAACGCTTTCGTCAGTTTAAGAATTATACGCCACCCACGCCGAAACCCAATGGCTTAAGCCTCGAACGCCCTACATTTTGTAATTGAATACTAAGTAAAACAACAAGCATAGGTTAGATGATCGACCTTATCTAATACCCATCTCTCACTGGAAACTTAAGGTTTCTCACAGAAAGAGTCTAAAGTGTGCATTCGGATTCCATATTTGATCTCAGAGCAGCTACTTTCAGAAATTTGAGTAATACACGTGAATAAAAAGAGACAACCAGAGCAATTTACACGACAATGCAAAAATTTCTGTAATAATTCTTTTATAAAAGAAGTGAGAAACAAGGAAAAGAACGAAAATTTTAGAGTAAAAATAAAAGAGGTTTTTTATGCTTTGGATTTCGTGCGAATCGTGGAGTAACATTAGCAAGAGTTTCTCAGTATTACGTTCTTAGATTAGGTTCTATACATAAGAAAGAATATATAAATCATACAACAAATAATGCCTCTACAGGCAGAATAGTATTTAAATTTAACAATTAAAAAAATAAAAATATGATTAAATAATTCAATTATTCTGCAACTGGTTTAGGTTTTCTTTCTTATATAAACACAGCAAGTAGATTTGTTAATACAAAAACTTTCACAGCAAATTAACAAAACTCCAGAAAAATGTGCGAACATAAAAGTTAAGTACAGCTTTGGATCAGTAGGTTAAGGTGTGCTGACTCTTAGCTTCAAATTTGGCAGGGCATGAGTTCGATTCCTGGTACTTGCAGTTTTAAAAAAATACTCAAAATACCCATCACCACCACTGATGATGGGTATGTGGTAATACTCAAAACAGCTGTATGGTCCGCCAAAAATTCAATTAATTATAATAAGATAAAAAGAATTTTTGTTGTTGTAGTACACTATGTACTTCTCGAAAACCTTTTTTTGTAAACAACTCCAATAGTTCCAAGAGTTTGAACAGTTAAAGAATAGTAACTTGCGGAGTGTTTAATTATATTCATTAATGTTTAATTAATGAATATAAAATAATATATCTGAAAAGAACCTCAAACAATCGGCAATACATAATTCCTATATTCGAATCTTTACTGCAGTAAAATCATAGGTATATGTAATAAAAAATATATTATAACCAATAACTTTGCCCCTTATAAAAATTCCAATGTTATATATTAAATGATAGATACAGAATTATAACTAATTGTTAAAAAGATTGATAAAGCTTATAGTCATATGTTTGCTTAGATCTTTTACTACACATTAGAACTAAGCACCACATGGCGCTGATTTCCGACATCTAAACTCAATATATCTAAAATCGATGTCAATATTTGCACAAATAGTAGAGAACTTATTATTTACATATAGCGCTCAAAATATTCACTTATACCGTTGACAATTATATTTTTTTTTATATATCTGGTATGCTTTAGTCTGGTATGCTTAGCTTGAATTCTAACCACAGCTGTCAGTCAATCTGTCACCTGATAATTCTTGACTGGCACCACTATTTTTGGTATTTGTAAGACTGACATAGGCATGTATGTTTCATATGTAGGTCAATGAAAAAGTAGTTCAATATCGAGGGCAGTTGACATATGCCGGCTTGAATTTCCAGAAAGAGTTTAACGAAAATGTTAATCAAAATTGTATAATTATTATTTTGTTTTATAATTATTTTAATGTTTGATAGAAAACAGTATTACTAAATTTAGCCTAGCTTATAACAGTCTTCTGTCTCTAATTAAACAACTGTTTATCATGTTTTGTTTCATGAGAACCTTTCAATTCAGTGTTTCCCTACTTTTTTATGTAGGGAAATCCCACTTAAATGTTTAAAAAAAATTAAAGGCAATTATGTGTCATACACAACGAACGTTCGGAAAAAATAAGCAGATCTGTTAAATATTTATCCGGGACATGATCCCTATGAATTGGATCGCAATATCTTGAGAAATACTGGTTCAAATTATTAAAAATATTAAAAATGAAAGAGTGAATAGCATGGAAAGTAGATAAACCGTTCTCTCTCTCTCTTATATGACAGTAAAAATTTTAAGTAGTATAAATTTTTATTTTTAAATACATGGAAAAATAACAGGAAAATATGTTAGATCTTAACATCTAAATCAGGCATTTTAACACACAACTACTACAATAAAATAAATTGCCCCTAATGATTCAGAGTCTTAGTATAATATCACTAGAAAGTTTGAGATGTATCAGAATTTATTGAATTACTTCTTAACTGTTATTCTTAATTATTGTAATTTGAAAATAATAGCATTATCATAAATTTAGTCCTGACCCAAACGAGAGCTTTTTATATACAATAGGATATAACTCAAACACCTATTTGTTAACAATGGAGTCAGGCAGTAACTTACAATGTCACACCACTGTTGATACGAATCTAATTCATTCATAGTTTTTTTTATTTCTTTTTATCTGTCTTATTACAATCAGTTTAGTTATTATCACTCATCCCGATTTGTAAAAGGACAGACTGACATAATACAAAAAAACTTAAGATTAATGAGATTGATTAATATAGAAATTTCATCATCTGGACATCGCATTGGTTTTTACTCTTATTCGTAAGTTAAAATTAAATAAATAAAAACCAACTGTCTATATATTAATCGTAGTCTCATAACATGATTCACATGATCCATAACAAGTGTATTCTTATGATATGTACCACGGAAAAATTTAACACTCTTAAAGTATTAAATATATAGATATACACATACTATTGTTATTATATACCTGGCCTAGATGAACCAAGTTCACTAAGTATTAAATCGATCTACTCTCATCTCTCTCTCCTGATTACTGGTACGAAGTTTCCTTAATGCTGTGGAAATCTTCTCTATTCATTTCTAAGAGGTGGTTTTAGTGGGTTCAAGTCTCACACTTTGGCTTCAAGATATTATATGTATTATATGTAGACATATACACTCAACTTGGATATTATATTCTACACCAAGTATAAAACATTTTATCAATACATCTAATGAAACTGTTGGCATATACTAGTAAATATTGTAGTTTTTCTGAAAGAGTAAGTAGAGTAAAGTAAAGTAAAAAATTCAAGTTTTGCAAGACTAGACGCTTTATTTGAACGAAACTTTAGGTTATCGTAGTTCTTTCATTTTTGTTTAAATTTAAACCCTGGTGGAGTGTTTCACTGCCCCTTCCTTCTAGACATGCTGCTACTGAAAACCATATTATACTAAATAACTATAAAATCGCAGTTCAACACCACTTCAATATGGTTTCTAATAAAGTCACTTCTTCTATATATTTTTTTTGTTCTTTATTTTAACTAATCACAGTTCCCTACGTTCAAACCAACAATTAAATTAAAATTATATAAATTATATGAAATTATGTATTTACAATGTCTCGACGGATCTTGACGAGTTTTTAACAAATTTGAAGAAATTGTTAAGAGCAGAGTAGTGTGGTCACTGAGACTATAAAGAAAGTAAGATACTTTGTAGATAAGACTAACATAGCATATAAAAATTTTTGAGGAACGTCAAGTTTTCTGGACGGACAGACGGAAATCATTTCTGGAATACAAATCGCTATAAATGTTATGTAATTGTTGTTGCATACATTTCTTTTATTGTAATTAATCAAAATGGTCACCTTCATTAAAAATTATGGTACTATATATAAATTATGGTACAGCCATATGTTTTGGCTGTCAACACCGGGTTTACATATGCTAGCGCCATCTATTGCGGTAAGCAATATTAGGCGACGGTGGGCATAGATTTTGCTGAAAAACGGATTTCAAAATAAAAGTTTTCCACCACTTTTAGTTGGCTAAATTGCATCTAAACTGTGGATCGGGTAAGTGGAATTGGTTATGACTTGGTATTTAATTTAATATATTTGCTTTAAATAAGTCAGAATATTTGTAAATACATATATTTCGTTTAAGAGAATTAATGCATTTTTGAATTTCGTATTTAAATACTTTTAATTATTTTTTAGATGGGAATGAAACGTGCATTTATAGATTATTCGGCATTGTAATATCACCCTATCACACATCACACGGAAGAACAAGTGAAAAGATATCCCTTCGTTCCATTTAATTATAACAACAGATATGGGTCAATCGCCTGACCAATTTTCATTTACTATCGGTAAGTAGACTTCACGACCACTGCTGGTGTCAACTCGTCTGCTGCTTCTAAGTTTCACTCATCGCGTTAAAGTTGCTTTAATCAGAATATTTGGGTTTGAAAAGTTATTTATAAACTTATTTTATTTTTATTTTATTGTATTTCTGTAGAAAACAATGCGATATATTTGAATTATATCATAATTAGTGTTATTTATAAGTAATTTTATTATATCAATTTATATAAATTAAATTTAGTTTTGCAGCAATAAATAGAATTTATATGTTAAATAATTTTGAGCTTTTTGATTTTCACCGGGCTTCACCGGGGTCTGGTCGTTTATTTAACATAGAATGCATACTGGAGATGGTCTACGAAGTAGACCGAAATATCTAATATAGAAATATTTTTTATAAAAATTAAAATATAATTAAGAATATTTAACCCTAGTCGGACGGAAAAGGCATCATTGCAACTTTTGCACTTTCCAATTGCAATAACTTTTTTTGCCTATACCACAGCGGTGCTTTAAATGATATTTTTAGAAAACTATGATTTATTATATGCGGTAAATAAGGGCAAGCCTAAAAAATTTAATGCCGTAGTAAGTATTGAGGGCTCCTGTGACCAAATATTTGTAGTATCTGCATATCTGGCACATGACCACGCTGCATTACCATCGGAAATACAACTAAGAAGCGGAGCCAGGAGACTTGAAGTGGAGCTTATTATAGGCTGTGATGCCAATGCTCAACATGAGATTTGGGAAAGCTCTAAAAAATATGTTTTCTATAGTAAAGCACGGTGGGGGTTCAGTGATGGTGTGGGGGTGTATAGTGGCAAGTGAAGTAGGTAAAATGGTGTTTATTGGCAATGGATTTATTACAAAATGGATTACTTTAATATTTTAAAAGGAAATTTACCGCTTGAATTGTTAAGGAATGGCTGCTGTACCATACACCAAAACAACTGAACCATCCCCCCACAATCACCGGACCACAATCCCATTCAACATTTATGGAAACATCTAGACAGAAAAATTCGTAAAAGAGGCGTCACTAGCATAGACTCTCTGAAATCGGTATTGTTGAATGATTGGTAGAAAATTTGACCGGAAGTGACAGCAAAATTAGCTGAATCAATGCCGAGAAGGCTAGAAGTAGTTCTTTATGCAAACAGAAAGCAAACATAATATAAAAGTCTGCATTTTTATTTATTAAATTTGTTACTGTAAACTTTATTTTGATGCGATAAATCTGGAGTTTTTACAGTTTTTGTTGTATTGCTTTTTTTGTTGTAAAACAAATTAATTTTTTTTTTTGATTTAAAAAAAAATTGAATAACGTTTTATGAAAAATTAAAATATATATTGAATATATATGGAATAAAGCAAACAAATTTTGAAAATGTACTGTACACTTTATTTTGACGCGGACTGTATGTATATTTTTTTGTGCGATTTTATTGCTCGCGAATTGACAAGCTATAATATTTTTCGTTAATTAATAATTAAAATTTATTATTTCTTTTGACTAATAATTAAAAATGCGTTCACAATAAAAAATATTACAAACATTAAATAATAATAATTAAAATTTTCGTAACATCGCCAACGAATAAAACTATGCAAATCGCAATACATTTTCTAAAACCAACAAATGTTTTCAAATATATTTCCATTCATAAAATTTGAATTAAATTAAAAAAAATAACACACACCTCGTAATTTGCACTTTCGATTTCGTACGACTGAATGAATTGTTGATAGAATATTTTTTTAAATCAAATTTCCTCAAGAGAAAGACATGTCGCCCAAATAGTTCTCAGCAATTGTAACCACTCGCATATGATTGCGTACATTTGATTGTTCGTACGAACAGGCAAGACAAAATTCGCACGCAAGGTAACCACAGCCTAATGCATTGCAATAATAAAATAATATATGGATCTAAAAAAATAAAGCATATAACAATAACCATTAAAATAAGAGTTTTAATCATAATTTATGTTATTATATTGACCTCAAAAACCAATTTAATTGATATAAAAGCTCTATTTTTTAAAATTTTTGAGTGATACGTTTCAAACAACAAGAAAAATTATAATAAAAATATTAAACAATAATAAGATAATTACGTTTTAAACAACAAGAAAAATAATAATAAAAATATAAAACATTAATAATATAATTATCCGTTCAATATTATTATTCTCCTCAATTATTGGTATGGCAGATATTGGCAGGTATGTTCAGTGGTTCTTTGCTGCTGTTTGACAGTTTTGACATTTGTGCTTTGCGGCTTTTCTGACCTTGAGCCAATCTGACGTATCGCCAATTAGAAATTTTGTTATTTGTTGTTGAACAGTTATTCCTGAAGTGCCGGTAAAAATTGAAAAAAGAGCACGAAATATTAAAAAACATGTCCGTTATAAGATTTCAACACATAAAAAATCTCCGCCATATTTTTAAAATAGCGGTAGCAGCTGTGCAACCATTTAATTTATTAAGCGCAGCCAATAATTTTATAATAGAGTCACAGGTTATTGGAGGTGCCAGCGAACACTTCGAAATTAATTTGCAAGGTAATAAATTCGACATAAGCAATAAACGTTGTTATGTTGTAGGCTTTGGCAAAGCGGTCTTGGGTATGGCAGTACAGTTGGAACGGGCATTGTCAACGCACTTGGCTGGCGGTGTTTTAAGCATTCCAAGTGGCACACGCTACCAATTTAGAAATGTACCCGACATGCAATTGCATGCGCAAACACTAATTGAGGTTTTCGAAGGTGCTGCCAATAATCAACCAGACGAACAAGCAATGAAAGCAGCGCAACGTATTTTGGCACTTGCACAACAAATGACTAGCGACGATGTGTTATTCGTACTCATCTCAGGTGGTGGTTCAGCACTGTTACCGTTACCGCGTGAACCGCTTAAGCTAAATGAAAAAATGTACTTGATACGCGAGTTGGCAAATTGTGGTGCGACTATCAATGAATTGAATATTGTGCGAATCGCATTGTCGGATATTAAAGGCGGTCGTTTAGCTGCTGCTGCAGGTAACGCGCATGCTGTTATATCACTTGTAATTAGTGATATTGTTGGTGATCCCGTGGAATTAATTGCTAGCGGACCTACATGCTATGATTTCAAAAAAAAACATGACGCGCAAACTGTCTTAGCAAAGTATAATATGTGGCGAAATCTGCCCAAGTTTTTACAAGAATTAATTGCGACATCTTCTTTCGATATAGCATCAATACCTAGAGAAAATAATGCTATTTACGTAGTGGGTGATAATCGTGTTGCTACTATGGCAGCCGTAAAGCAAGCTGTGCAGTTCGGCTATAATCCGTTTATTGCAACAACAATTTTGCAGGGAGAGCTGCAAGATCTGGTACACAAGCATATCAATTTACTGCAACACATTGTCAACTATAATAAGAAAATTATTTCGGCAGAAGAGTTAAAAGTGACCTATTGTTCGGTGTTAGACACAAGAACGTGGTCACATTTTTTGAAGACATTGGATATGTGCGAAAAAACACAGAAACCGTTGCTTCTTATATATGCTGGCGAGCCGACAGTAAAGGTAAGTTAGGCATTAGTTATGTGTGCAAAGTAATAGATCATAGTGCATTTAATATATTAAAGTAATTTGTGTGGTTTTATTGTAATCGAGCTACCCTAATTTCGTCTATTTTGTAGGTAACTGGCAAAGGTCTTGGAGGACGAAACCAAGAAATGGCTCTCCGTATGTCGTTAGCGTTATACAAAAACGCTGGTTTACACAACATCACTTTTCTCAGTGCGGGTACTGATGGCATTGATGGTCCAACGCCAGCAGCTGGGGCCATTGGTAGTGAATCAGTCATTAGTGAAGTGATTGAAACTGGAAAATGTCTTTCCGATATTATTTCATTTATACAAAATAACAATTCTTATAATTTTTATTCATCACACAACAATGCCGAGCTGTATCACATTGTAACTGGACACACTGGTACTAATGTTATGGATTTGCAGCTTATTTTACTGGAATAATTATACACATATGTGAGTTCCTACTTTAAGATATATATATATACATTATGTACGTATTTGTGAATATTTATATTGGGTTGAATTTAAATATTGTTAACTAAAATCGAAAGTTGCAGTGCACTTGTCCCTATCCATTTTTAAAGTGAATAATGAGTATACACGTATGTAAAAAAATACCATATATGTATATATTCAGGGTTTATTATATATAATATGATTTATAAATTATAAATTTAAATTTGCATTGATGTGTGAACGAAATAAAGGTCTCAGACTTAATGGTGTAATGTCGTGTGGTGTCTGTTGTCAACATCTTACACTGTCTAAGAAATCATTATCATAATTTACTTGATGTCTACAAAACTAATCAGTACACATTCAAAATATATTTTCCTTTAGAAGAGGTTGTAAAACTCGTAACCTTAGAGGAGGATGCAATATAAGACAAACATTGCGAGGAACTAATTGTCAAAAGTGAGAAAATTGTTCGAGAAATCGAAGTTAGAAAGTTAAATAAACGAGCCGCAGAACACTACATAACTTTTTGAATTTGAAATATTATAAGTGGAGCCATAAATGGTTTATTAGTAAGCGTACCTGGTATCTGTTGTGTATTGTTGTTACAATCCTTCACATCACCTTGCTTCACACCATCCTGGCAATAGATATGTTATTTGCTTTTTATTTTCAAAACTTCTTGAGACAACATACCAGTAGGTGGAAATGGTAATTTAGTTGACTTTTCTGGTATGCAATAGAATCTTGATTATATTACTTTGTATGTACTTCAATAAAATTTATGGAATAGGCTTTAGTGAATAATATAAAAAATTAAAGCACGAAGTCTGTATCCACGTTGTCAATCCTCTTATTTAATTGTTCCATATTGTTATCGAAAATATACCGCATATCTCGCATTTCATTTAGAGTTTTCTGTAAAGAATCTATGTAATAAAAAAATTGAAAGAAATTAATAACACAAATATTAGTTGAAATATATTTTTGTTCTATGTACCTGTATTTGCCATTTCAAAGCTTCGATGTGTAGTTCCTTCCATTTGAATAAAAATATTAACAACCTTACGCTTTTATAACTTTATAACTACTGTCTTTTAACTCAAGTATTTACTGTTTTTATAGAAAATTTGCTTAAATTATAATTTAAGCAAATATTTATAACTTATAATGATGTGCGCAGATGTTGCAAGAAAAAAGATTGTTTGAATACTTGCGCAGAATTTTCAAATATTACTTTGTTGCTCAATGATTATATTATCGCTTATTTTATTGTTGTATTGTTCTAAATTTAGATATTATTATATTTGGGATATGCCTTATGCAATTATTTTAAATGTCATTAATAACAGTTGTGCAAAATTAATATTAATAACAAATCATTCTTGTAAGCGCATAGGTTAGGTTAGGTACAGAGGGCGCGTGAATTATGTTTTTTTATAAAAACATAAATTAAATAAAAATCAAAATTAATTTTTTGATCGAACTTGTTTATTTCACTAATAATAAGTTACTACACACTTTTTAAATCTTATTCTTAATGCTAGCCGCTTTCTTTCGATTGCCAATATTGCATTTTTAAAACTTATAAGAAAGCAAATTAAATATCGGCGTTTCGAATTACAATTTAAGCGGAAGTGTTATGAAATATAAATTGTAGAATAAATGCATTTAATTTATTTTGCAATTTATTAAAAATGATTAATTTAAATAAAAAGTATGTCACCAAATATTTGTTGGTAACAGACTTTTTTTAAATGAACGGAAGTAGTTATATCATAGTACATAACTCGTGCTGACAATTGTCAGCACATCCACTCGGAGGCATATATTGCCCATTGTGATGCCTTCAAAAAATTTTGCCGGGAGAGGTGAGGTGCTAACCTTTGTTATCTTCTATCCTTGTTAAACCATTTGGTTTTTCAGATGAAGTTTAGGAGATCCGATAAGTTTGCTTTCGTTATTTCTTCCAAGCCAATGAAAAATCGATCACCAAGCCATTGAAATCGCCTTTTCTGAAGTCCTGGACAGAAACATAGGAAGTATTTGATAGATTCTACCTTATTTTCATCTTGGCAACTTGTGCATAATCCACTTGTTGGAACTTGGCATTGTTGGAGCATACACGCAATGGCACAATGGCTTTTCGTTTTATTTTTGTCCAACCTAGGCCATAAGGTCCTAGCGATCTCACAATCTTCGCGGTTAGTCCATAAATTGTTAGTCATCTGCTAGTTCATTCCCTTCAATATTGCTATGTTCAGGAACCCAGTAAAAAGAGACCTTGTGATGCTTGATGCTCATCAATGAGGCGCGACATTTCAATACAGTCTTGGATTTAACTGTTTTAGATTCAATTGCATTCAGTGCGGCCTGACTATCTACAAACATCGTGATATTCGAATGACAAATTGCACTTTGTTGTATAAGGTTATATGATAAGCACATAAGCTTAAAATAATTTCATCCGAATTAATTTCAACTTCTTGCAAATCGATTTCACCACAAACAACTATTCCTATTTTTGACGAAGTTACTGGAAGTTCAAAAAAGTGCTTAGAGCCAATAACACGTTTGTCAAAAATTTTATTATCGTAAATATTTGTAATTTTGATGTAAACACTTCCGCAAAACCAGAAAATGGTAGAAGCTATTGTATAAATTCATCGATATGAACATTTAAGGGTTGTCGGTGTTAGAGATCATTATTTTTGGAATTCTGTTTAATCTAGGGGTAGTTATAGCCTCATACGCATAAACCATTCCGAATGATTGCTATTTAGTAAAGCAGGAAGAATGACAAATTTTCAAGCATCTGTGGTTGATTCAAGAATTGAGCATTTGACGTCTGTTTAATTTTCAGACCTTGTAAGACCAAAGTGTAAAGTATTATCTTTGTAGAAATAAAAGCCACGTCGCTTTCAGTGTTTGTAGAAGACCGTTTTTATTAATTTGTTCATTCTTAAATCTAACATTGTTTCTTAATACTAATTTCCAATAGAATCTTATGTACTGATTCTATTGGTTAATACTTATAATACTTGCGTCTAATTGGTTAACCCAAATTAGACGTATATAATATTCTTACAGAAATATCTTATCAATAAATGGTATTATATTTACTAATGCAAGTGTTCTACATATGGTTTTACTTGAAACCGTTTATTCTATTGACACAGTTTTGACTTATGCATATTGCACATATGGTGCAATGTGCGGCTCAGTTATTTGTCATCAAAATAATGACAAAATAAATGCTCATATTACTTGACAATAGTTTGTCATAAATTTTATTAAAATAGAACTGTGTCAATGGTTACTTTAAATTATTCAGAACACTTGAGTGTTTTGTGTTATGTGTCGTCTTGTATCCATATCGCATTACAGTATTGATTTATATCCACAAGAATACATAATTTGTTATTTTTATTTTACTTTTATTCTTTATAGCCATTAATAAGCGTATTGATAAAAATGTCATAACTCTATCCCGATCTCCAGTCAACCACAATATACCCATCTAATATGGTATATATAAACAGAGTATCGATTGAATACTGATTTTATTTTGAAAATTATTCTCTATTTATATAAAATTGTCTTAACATAACTTAACTAAATTTACAAATAAGGTTTGAAATAATTTGTTGCCTGTTATCATTTATTTTAGTGGACTGTATTATTTTTAGTTACATTTTATTGTTGTCGCAAAGGTTCAAAACAAAAAGATACTATTTTTTCTCAGAAGAAAATCCCGGCACTTAGGATTTTCTTTTATTGTCTTTAAATACATTTTTATTATCTTAATTAGATACGGTGTCATGTGTATCATAAAATATTTAAACTACGAGTTTTTACAATATTATGCTATTTTAAATTAGGGTATTTCCTTCTTATTTGTGTTTCCTTCTTATTTTATTAGTTCTAAGAATTTAAATGTGCTAATGTTTTGTTTGGGTACTATCATTACCCTTACATTATGTAAAACCTTGGAGATATAATTAATACGGGATATGAGTATGGAAGTTTTTCCCTTATCGGCCTGAACAATGATCAAATCGCCATGTTTCTTAAGGAAGGACAAGGTACTTTGGAATAAATGAGACAGCATTCTATGGAAAAGAGATTGTTGTTGATGTTTCACCATTACGGTAACAAAACAAGAATAATGTTGCTCGAGATCTTCTCTACTATACAATCTTAATTCAATACTATTCTCCAAGTAACCCTCGGAATACTTTTTGATAGCCACCATATAGGAGTGAATATCGGGGGGAGAAAGAGTGGAGTAGTCAGGTCCAAAACTCAAAAGGACCTCCACCTCTAAGGGAACAAATAGATCACTCATGTTTAGAAAACCGCCTGGCACAACTTTAGGATAAATCAGACGATATTTATCCAATTCTGGAACCATAAAGAATCATAAAGACCACCAAGAGAGGTGGAAACTATATACTGTGACACAGTAGACAAGGGGCGAGGAATAGAATAAAATGGAATGTTTGCTGACATGTTTTAAATTTAATAAGCCAAAAGGTATGATTTTCAAAGGGAAAAATAAAATATATATATAAAAAATAAAATTATAATAAAGTATAAATTGAATATTAAAAATAAAATCAATATATTATAACACAAAATTTAATATGAATACACAATATAGCACAATAAAGTCGGTAAATAAGATGATTAAAAATATATGTGTTAACAATAATCCAATAAGATATATAGAATAATTTTCAAAACTTACAAGTAGTTAAGTAGAATTAACACAATATAAACCCAAGATATGCAAATTCAAGAAAAAAAACACATAATAATATAATAGTTTAAGATATAATTGATAGCACTCGGCACTATAAAAGACTGAATACGTTTAATGGCTAAGACCTGAATCCAATGGTACTTATACCAAATAGAACAAGATGGAAAAATTAATACAGGTAAATAACAGGTAACAAAATGAAGGCTGTAGGAATACGGGATAAGCAAACATAAATATAAACCATAAATGACCGGGTTGAATTTATGGCTTATAACACACATCCAATAAACAAGAATCTTTTGTTATGAGGGTAATAAAATATAGCACAGTATCAAGTATTGGAATAAACGCAAATAAGACACCAAGAATTGGAAGGGATAGGTTCCAAGAAATTATCAAACATGTATTAAAGCATAGGTAAAATAATATTAAGATAGATAAGGGATAGATCATTCGGATGAATTAATGATGCAATTAACTTTTATAAGGCACACATATAACGAAGGCAAAGCAACACCTGAATTTACTCATATAATATGCACAGTCCAATGGCATTAACAATAAGCATTAATAGAAGGTTAAGGTAGACACATTCTCAAACGACCATAGAGGTCGTTTGAGAAAAGTAAATATTAAGATAAGCAATAGAAGGGAAAAATATGATCAAATTAGAAAAGCACATATATAAGAAAGATGTAAACAAAGCCAGAAATTCTTTGGCGTAGATGCAAATTCCAAAGGCATCATTAATAGGTGTTAATAATAGGATTAGGCAAACACTTTTCAATAAAAATAGGTGATAAGAATCTAATAAAGAGGGCCATAGACATTGATGCAAGAAGATAGGCTAGACTATCTAATTTATATTAAAAACTAAGGATAAATTACTAGAATACCAATATGGTATTTACAATGATAAAATAAGATATAGCATAATGAACCAAAATTGACATAAATAGCACGGTAGGAATAAGCAAGATATTTGGAATTTCATATTGTATGAACAAAGCAGAGCATAGATAGAAGAGAAAACATAAAGGTACAAATTTATAAAGTAAGATAACACATAATTGGAAAATCATAAACAGGCAAATCACATTACCAAGCATAAGAACCAATAGAGTACTCAACATAAGGAAATTCCCAATAGGGAAAGGACAACCCACACTAATCATGAACAATCTTAATTTTTAAAAAATGAATCAAAATAATAACTTAGAATCAAGGTACTCTACCTTAAACCACAAAATAATATCAAAAATTTAAAAAATAAAACATAAAAAATAAAAAACAAAAATCAAGATAATACTATAAGTGTAAAATAAAAATCAATAATTAGAGTCTTATATAAAAAAGAAGCATATTTATATTTATTGCATATTTATTAATTATTATAAAACTAAAATACATATTTACATTAAACATGGGATTATACAGTATATAATATATACAAAAAGATAATTTCTAATCGGAGGAATCTGAATAATAGCCCATACGTGGGACCTTATGATAAGGAATATATGCGCGTATTTCCTTGAGGACATCGCGTTTAGTATCCTCCATGGAATACTCCTCTTCCAAAACGTAATCACCCATAAAATTGGTGTTATCCAAACGCCTTTTAGAGAGATTAACATCACTGGAAGTACTGCCTCCTTCAGCCTCAGACACGTTGGCATCCACTGGACCTATCAACTCCCGTAAAGCGTTTTTACGCATAATTTTGCATGGGATGCATCGACATTTCGGGAGGTTCACCCCATCGCAAGTCTCACATATACACTTGCATGATACGTCGGTCACGCAACCGGCACATCGACAGGGGTACTTTAGATGAAGCAGTCTACCCCCCTTGATAAAACTGCCACGAAACCGGGAGCAGGACGCATCTGTATCTAATTATTTAAATAAATAATACATATCAGAAAGAGATTTTGATTAAAATATACAATAGGAATAACATACGTATAGGACAATAATACTCACCATATTCGGAAGAAGAGGAAAAATTGTATAACTCTTTATAGGTAATACCATACCTAAGATGAGAAGGCTTTGACGGCTCATTCCCATCTATATCTTACAGCAAGAAATCTTCATGGCGTGCATTTTGTAGCTCAGTCATTGGCACAACAGCCCTCTTATAAGCGCGCGTCTTCTTTTCCTCTTTGGTATAAACTCGTATCATCTCGTCGTTAGAACTCTCAGATAGTGATGTATCCATTATGAAATTTAAATTTAAACAATATCCAAAATAAGCAAGTTGCTTGCCTTTATATAGCTATTTAAAATCGTTGAAAAAACAAACCTTGCACCATACCGGAGATAATCACAAATCTGTCAACCACAATATACCCATCTAAAATGGTATATATGTAGGTTCTAGACCTTAAGTTTATTTAAATTTTAATAGTTAATTGTTATTAAAGGATTATTTGATTAAATAACTATAATAACTGAGTGTAATAATTTAATGATTATTTCTCAACTTAATTTTAAACTAATTTTAACGCGCACACACCATTATTTTCTCTGCTTCTTTCTTCTACGAGCTGCTCACTGCTACTACCTCTTTTCACTTCAACTGACACTTCAAAGCAACGGAGTTGCCCTGCGTTCTTTTCTTATGACAGCGACGTAACTCTACTACTTTTAATTACTTTTGCGCCACTGTCATACCTACTTTCCTACATATATATATAAAAAGTAATATCGATTAACTATGTTAATTTTTTGTATCATTTATTTATAAGATTTTCTCTGTATCATTTATTCAAATATAAAAAATTTTCTATTTATAATATTTTTGATTTTTTCGTATAAAATCTCTAATACAATTCTAATGCAATATATATAGATATTTTTATTTCAATACAATAATTAATCATTTTCAATAAATTCAGACATACAATCATTGAAATATAATTATTTTTGGAATACAATATCAACCTTCGGATATCCTCTTACGTTTATGTCCAGGGATTGGTAATGACATCTTAACCCTTTCCAAATATTTCTCAAATCCATGTGCAAGGAACCGTCGAAAGCGTAGTTATATTTAGGGTCCCATTCGATTCCCATTGATACATAAATTTGCTTATATAAATATAGTTTTACATTTGTTGGTAAATTAGACATAATTGGTAACTCAACTGGGTGTTTCATGATAATATATGCTGTATACTCTTGATGTTTATATAGTGGCGATAATGGATCCTCTAATGTGTCTAATATAATATTATCAAGTGCACTTCTTCTAGTATATAAAAACCCAACTCCACAATCCCCATATGTCACCATTAATATTCTATGATTGTTAGATAATTGTTGCAGATTGGGATACGGTAAGCTTTCGCCGGAAGTACATGGTTTCAAATATGTGGACAGATAAGTCCGGCGATAATAGTATAGGGCTAAATATTACTAGATATGCAGTTGGGGTATTTAACCACTAATCCATGTATCAATCCTATTACGTAAATATGAGGATAACCATTTGACAATGTCTGACTAAAACAAGCAGTCAAATCCAAGCAGTTTCTTGCAGACATTTTCTAGTAGATACACAATATATAGAACCGTTGGAAAGGGTTTCCACAAATATATAATAATAACTGACACAATAAATAGAACCAAAGCACAAAAACAATAACCTTTATAATATAATATATACCACATAGGATATATATACAAAAATATATAACAAAAATATATATAATAATAATATTTACACGATTTTAAATTAATATCAATAATATAAAAGATAAAAATGAATAAAAAATAAAATAAAATTACAAATATAGAATATTAAATCAGTATATGATGTATTTAATAGGTTTATGACAATATATATAAAAGATAGGTTACAACTCACAAAAATAAGAATATCAGAATCCTTATATTAAAGAAAAATTATCGAACAAACATATATAGATATATTAGATTTAGCAAACTGTTTATTACACCTTTTATTACACTCTCAAACCATAAGTTTCAAACCACGATAGATCAAACATAACTAACAGCATAAATATAATATCCATATATTTATACCAAAAAATTTTGTATGGAGTCTGGATTTGAATAAGATAATAATAGGTAATAGAAAAGGATTATTGGTACACAAGGTTAAATATACAAACCAAAGGGACATGTATCAATAGGATAAAAGAGATTAATTTCAACGCCATGAGACAGAAATCATACTTACATATATATAAAAAACAGGTAAATATTTTAAAACTATTTATTTATTCATTTAGTTTTATATATTTATAAAACTAAATGAAAGGTCATATAAAGGGATGAAATAATCGATATCAAGGGTAATTCTATACGCAAACATAATAGTAATAATATACATACCTGAACTTATATATGTATAGTATAACTCCATATGCAATAACATGATACATCAAATTATATATTAAAATATTTTGATAGGAAAACTTTAAGATAAAATTCCATATAATAATATATGTATATAATATATACATATATAAAAACTGCTACTTCTGTAGTAACTTTTATATTCTAATTTTTATAGAATTTCGTTCTTGTTCACAATACGTAGTCACTCTAACAGACTTTATTTCAACAAAACTGCTACTTTTGCAGTAACTTTTATATTCTAATTTTTATATAATTTCGTTCTTGTTCACAATACGTAGTCACTCTTACAGACTTTATTTCAACAAAACTGCTACTTCTGTAGTAACTTTTATATTCTAATTTTTATAGAATTTCGTTCTTGTTCACAATGTTGAATTTAAAAAAAAAAACACACTGATCTAACTATATCAGTATTCTTTCAAACAATATCATTAGTTTTCACAAACAAAAAAAACTTTTCGCCAAAATTATATATATAATATTTAAAATTCTTGTTAGTCTTCTGATTGTTAACACAACCTTTCACCATCTAGATTCGCCAAAAAAAAAATATATTATATATTATATTATATTTTTATAATATATATATGTATATATATATATATATATATTCCATATAATAATATGGATAAGAAGATATTTAAAAGATGACCTCCATATCATTTTATACAATAATAAAAAATTTTTGAAAAATATGACCTCCACCTCATACTACAGTTAATATGAAAGGGATGTTAAAAACGACCTCCATATCACATTATACAATACATGTAAAATACATTAAAATTTTGGGGGAAATTTAAATATGACCTCCATATCATACTACACATAATAAGAAAGGATAAATCTATAATATAACCTCCATATCTCACTACACAAAATAAGAAAGGTATAATCACGGAATATATATACAAAATAAGATAGATACATTCAAAATATGTACAGAGATATGTAGAATACCATTATTGCAAAAACATATTATCATGATTGCAAAGCATATTCCAGTAGCACTAGTTTAACTCCATTAAAAAGTAAAATATATCTTTCAGTTTCACATTAGATCACAGCTCACATAAAAAATAGGGAAAATTTGATAACAACTCGAAATAACCATACATCATATTTATTATTATTCATATTATTTTATTTTTAAACTTAATATATAAACACATGTAATAAATGAATATACAACACATATAATATATATAGAGGTATACATAACATATATAATATAATATAAATAATAAATTTAATCTGAGGAATCTGAGTACATTCCCTTACGCGGATATTTATGATACGGGACATAAGAACGGGTCTCCTCTAGTATATCTCGTTTGGCATCCTCCATTGAATACTCTTCCTCCAGCACATAATCGCCCATTGAACCGGTACTAGATAAACGTCGTTTTGTAGGATTAACAGAACCAGATGCACCATCATTTTCAATCTCGGATACACTAGTATCTGTGGGACCAATCAATTTACGTAAGGCTTCTTTACGTTGGGTTTTAGAGGGTATGCATCTACATTTTGGAAGATCGTCACCATAGCACTCTTCGCATACACATTTGCAAGAAACACCGGTTATACATCCTGAACACCGGCAGGGGTACCTTAAATGCAGCAGCTTACCCCCTTTAACAAAACTACCGCGGTAACGCGAACAAGATGCATTAGAGTCTGAAATATATATATTAATAAAAATATTAATTAATAAAAATAAAAATAAATAATAAATAAAAGTTGTTTAACAAATAAATTGTGTTTTCACAAATATAAATAAACTTAAACATAAATATGAAATAGACGAAAACATATAACATAGGTAGTGGTTTAAGAATTATTTATATTACTACACATACAATATATTGATTTCTTACCATATTCGGAGGTTGATGAAAGGCCATATAGTTCTTTATATGTAATTCCATATCTGTAATCTGAAGCCTTTAAAGGCACATTCCCACAGATATCTTCCATATCTAAATCATCTATGCGTACATCCCGTAGTTCAAGTAATGGTACAATAGTCTTCTTATAAGCGCGTACCCTTTTCTCTTCCTTGGTATATACCCGAACCATTTCTTCATTAGAACTCTTTGATAATGATGTATCCATGTTGAAAGATAAAGACAAGTAATATGAATGTGGTAAATTGAACACTCTTATATAGTCAACCACAACATGAAAAGATAATCTCGCATCAATGTAATACCTAGAAATATATTTCAAAAGGTTGCCATAACGATAAGATTCCACTATTTAGGCATGGAATAATGCATGGATAATAATAAAATTTGATAGGCCCAATAAAGGTTTTTCAAACAGGTAGAGTAAGAAATCACTAAAAAATACCTATAATTTACGCATATATAGGCAAGGTCAAAATTAAATTTTGACATGCAAAGCTGTGTAAATCTACTTTTATTGCATATACACACGAGGTCAACATAAATCTTTAGGTTTTGTATATACAAATAAATTAAAACGAGGTAAACAACCTAATAAAACATTAGTATAGCATAATTTGGAATACAGATAAGATTCACCACATAACACCTACCTCTAATGCAATTCCCATTATTAATCACCAAACTTAAGGATTATTACACCGCAAAGATTTACCTTTCAAAATATATTCTGTTTCAAAATATATTCTGTTCTAATCTAATTATTACATACATAAATACTCTTATATCAAAAACCAGGCAGTAGCCTCGTAATATGAACATATTTTTCAATATGGAATACTGGTCCAAACATTTTTAAGATTGAGGCCTGCATGAGATTATGATGCTTGCCTTCGTTTTTATGTAAAACAGGTAGACACACTAATATAAGATTCACGCGGCAATGTGCAACTAGTGATAATGTTTGGGGAAAATGGTGTATTTACACAAAATAATATACATATGAATAGATAAGCAGTAGGGAAAGCAATATTTTCACATATATTATGTTGTTTTGAATGTTATATAGACATACGTAAATTTTATATGGACATAGGTACTCTTATAAAAGGATTTAGAAAAATTGGAATAGTTAGAAATAATATATCAATTAGAAATGCTTCAAATTATGATATAAAATTGCAAAACCTTTTTATGAGATATACCCAAAACATAGAACCTTTTAACAAAACCACTAATTTAAACATTACAAATAATGCATAATTGGCGGACATGTCATGATAACCATAAGATAACCTAATAATGTTGACATGTTAAACATGAAATATAGCCCATAAATCCAAAACCAAGGCCTTGCATGAGACTATGATGATTACCTTTTGTTGGTTCAGACACACAGAAACAGGTAGAAAAGCAAATATAAGGTAATAATTTTTACGCGGCAAAGCGCAATTCATAGCTATGCTTGCAAAATGGAGTAGATATACAAAATATGCATAGAATAGGTGCAATTCATAGCTATGCTTGCAAAATGGAGTAGATACACAAAAGATGCATTGAGTAGACACATAAAATATGCAAGAAGCAAGAAACAAGCTAGGCCATAGAGACCAAAACACCTTCGTTAGGTATATACACATAATTTCCCCACCATAACCATTGCTGTATGTGTTGCAGTTATAGTACATTTTACGCCATATTTTTATCCTTTCCTCCTTCTTTTCTTCTGGCATACCTAGAAAAAAGAAATACAGTTTCATATGATCAGTACATTTCAAATAACGGAACGATAAAGTCACAACGGAATAGTTTTATACAAAATAGTGTACAAAGTGCATTTAAAATCTAATGTTTGTGTTATTTTCATACAAATTTTATATAACATTATAGTTCGCAATTTCGTTTGATAAATTACACAACGTGTTTCTTAAAATTCCTCAGTTTGATATCAATATTAATATTATAATTTTGTCTGATACTATATGTTAAAGTGTCCGAAAATCATATATAAAAAGTGTTCTCTACTTTCCAATGTATCTTCTTAAAACAACAAAGTTGTTTAACCTTTTACCTCATAAATTTACAAGTGTTTTCCAAATAATAATTTTTCGACAAAAAAAAAAAAAAAAAAAAAAAAAAAAAAAAAATAAAAACTAAAAAAAAATTTACTGTAATTATCTCATATGGTTCTCATGATTCGTCGCTGCGATAATCTTGCTGCAAAATAAATTTAGATAAATATCTAAACAATTACCACCTCCATACTATCTTATACGTTAATATTATAAAACTTCTGCTTTATCTAATCATCTTGTCGTCATACCAAATTTTCACCATAAGAAGAAAGAAGAAAGAAGAAAGGAAAGAGGAAGGAAGAATAACATGTGATTCGGAATAAAAAACAACACCATTAGAAGGGATTAATAACACGTGCATACCCGTGCTTACACTAAGATATTTTACCATAAACTTATATAAATACATTAAGGTATTTTCCATCAACTTGTATAAATATGAATTAAAACAAATTTATATACACTACTTATATACAAGATATACAAAATATTTTTGTAAGAGATAGATATGCGCAATTTAAGTCTCCAAAGTGCAATTGTCGAGCCACATTAATATGTGTATGTTTTAATTCAAAATATATTCTTATATAACATTATTTATGCTTGTACAATAGCATATATGTACATTCTACAAGCATACATAAACATAAGGGCTTTATGATGACAGTTTGTAAAATAACAATATAACGGACGAAGACGATATATATTTTCATTTCCATTTTGATGAGTCCGGTTGGTTACCGGACGAAACGCGTTAATGGAAACCATTAACAGTACGACTTTTGTTGATCTATCAACACAATAGATTATTTCCATTT